GATAATTAAGGTTTAAGCCCACCCAGTATTAAATGTCCTTCCTTCTTTGATCCCTGGGAAAGATGCTCAAATATCCAGGAAGGGTAGATACAGTAGTCTACCTGCACTGCCATAAAAAAATCCACAGAATTGGAGGTTTAAACAGCAGATGTTTAGTCATGGTTCAGGAATCTAGAAGTCCAAGATCAAAAGGGTCAGCAGTTGTGTTCTCTAGCGAGCCTTCTCTGGCTTGTACATTGGTGGGTTTGGGGTTTTTTTGCCATGTCATCAGATGGCCCCTCTGTGTATGTGTGGAGAGAGTGGTCTCTGATATTTCTTTCTCTTCTTAAAAGGACACAGTCCCCACCATTATGATTGCATTTAACCTTAGTTACCTCTTTAAAGTCCCTTTCACCAAATATAATCATATGGGAGGTTAAGGCTTCAACACACACATTTTGGAGAGAATAACATTCCCTATAACATCCTGCCCTCTGCCCACCCCCCCCTAATTTCACATTCTTCTTGCATACAAAATACATTCATTCCATCCTAACAGCCGTAAGAGTCATAACCCATTCCAGTATCAGTTCTGAAGGCTAGAGTCCAAAGTCCCAACTAAATATCTACACCAGATGCGATGAGACTTGAGGTATAATTAATCTTGAGGCAGAATTCCTCTCTGGTGGTGAACCTCTGAGCCAAACAAGTAGGTCATTTCAAAATACAAGAGTGGGACAGACATAGGCTATACATTTCCATTCCAAAACGGGGGAGCTGGGAAAGAAGTAAAGGGGCTGATGGGTCTCAGACAAGTCCAAAATCCAGCCAGGCAATTCCATTAGATTTTAAGAATCAATATCTTTTTTGGCTCACCAAAATCACCTATGTCTTCCCCCACCCTCACCACCTCTGGAACTAAGAGGGAAGTAGCCTTAACCCTTGAATTTATGGTGGGGGTAGAATACCCATGATCTCTGAATTGCCTTGTGGGATTGTTCTTCCCTTTTCTTAAAGCATAAAACATGTTTGCAGCCAAATAGCTTATCTTCTAGTCTAGTCCTGTTCAATCTCAGGAGTGCAAAAGCTTTTCTTTATTTTATTCCATCTAGGTTTCCTTTGGTCCAAATTGGCAGGGTTTCTGTTGGTACAGTCCCAGCTCTATTCCTGGCTTTTGCTGATCTGGCTGATTAATTCCCAGGATAATCTCATTGTGGAGTGATTATCCAGCCACACCCCTGGTGCTCTCTCTGGGACACGCTTTCTCATTTTTTACAGTTTGGGTAGATTGAGGATTTTTCCAAATCTTCAACTTTTTATTCCTTTTTACTTAAGGATTTCTTCAATTTATCTGTTTCTTCTCACATTTTACTGTAAGTAGTGAGGAGATGCCAGGCCACATCTTCAACATTTTTATTAGAAATCTCTTCAACTAAATATTTAAATTTGTCACTTACAAGTTGTTCTTTCCATTAAACACTAGAACACAATTCAGCCAAATTCTTTGCTAGTTTATAACAAGGATAACCTTTCTTCCAGTTTCCGGCAACAGCGTGTTCTTCATTTCCACCTGAGTTCTCACCAGAATCACCTTTAACATTCATATTTCTACCAATAGTCTCTTCGAGGCAATGTAGACTTTTTCTAGCAAGCACCTCAGAACTCTTCCAGCCTCCACCCGTTAATTACCAAGTTCAAGAGCCACTTCTCCATTTGCTGGCATAGTAAGAGAAGCACCCCTCTTCGAGGTACCAAATGTGAATTAGTATGCTTAGGCTGTCAATAACCGAATACTACCGATTGGGTGGCTTAAACAACAGAAATTTATTTTCTCACAATTCTGGAGGTTAGAAGTCCAAGGTCAGGGTGCCAGCAAACAGTTTCTGATGGGACCTCTCTTCCTGGCTTGCAGATATCTGTTTTCTTGTGATTTCACCTGGCCTTTTCCTTTGTGGGTGCCCAGAGAGACTAGCCCTCTGACTCTCTTTATCTTATAAAGATACCAGTCCTGTAGGAGTAGGGCTCCACCCTTAACCTCATTTAGCCTTAATTACTTCCCTAAAGGACCTATCTTCAAATAGTCACGTTGAAGGTTAGGGTCTCAACACATGAATTTGGAGAGGCCCAGTTCAGTCCATAACAATGGGTCTTGAAGAAATGCATGGAGCAGTAAAGTATTGGGACTGAATATAAGCTACTTTAGTGTTCACACTACTCTCATTCTCTGCTACATTTTTTAAAGAATAATATTAGCATTTATAATGCAACTCATTTAGTTTAGCTCCTGCTGGAGATTTTGAGAGCTTGTGTGAAGTAGAGCTATTATGTTAATTCTGTCTGCACTTCTGTGAAGCATGAAGTCAGTGTCATATGTTTTAAGGGTAAAACCTTGTCGCATTCAAAGAGATGCTTAAAACTGCAATCTTGAAAATTGCTTTTAAACAGTTGGGGAGAGATGTTCATATTCTCAGAGGATGTGATTCAGAAAATTATTCACTGGGAGGTTTTAGAATCTACATTATAGGAAAATTGTTGATTTCTCTCACACCTTTCTGGGAATATTAATATAATACAGATCCAGGCAGTCTTTGGAGATTGTAAATTATAAATTTTTCCAGTACACTTTAGGGTTTTGAGTTTGAGTTTGAATTTTAGTGTGTGTGTGATTTACCTGTTTGTATTAATTCTGCTTTTTTCTCACAATGTTGGAGGAATAGATGATGGAAAATATCCTAATTTAAAGCATAAACATGTTATTTAGATTTCTAAAAATTAGAGTAGCCAATATCTGTATGTATGTCTAAAACAAGAAAGAACATTTAGTTTTTTTTCTATTAGGCTGACAACTCAACATATTTTGTAATTACCTAAAGTCACTGAATTGCCCTGTCTGCTCTTATGCTGGCTTAGATTAAAATAGGAAGAAAGAGAAAGAAGAAACTTGGTTGGTCCATAAGGCTTGGATATTTTGAAGAGGATTGATCAGAGATTGTGTATATGAAAGCCATGTTTATTTCATCAATCTTCTCAGAAGCTTTCAGGTATTTAGAAGCTAGCATCTCTATTTCTGTAATTGTACTAATAGGTGGAGGTAGTGGTATAGTCTTTTCCATCTCTTGCCTGGCTGTTTTGTCCAGAATTACTTATACTTGTTGTTCTAAAAACAGGAAATGTCAAACTTCACTGTCCAAGTAGGATCCAAGACTACAAAAAATCTTTGAAGGGGTCTTAGGAAGAGCTAATGTAGAGCTAATTGCAGCAGAGATGACAGCATCTGACCTCCCTATTTAGAGCACAGACTGTTGTGTAACAAACAGCTCCTCCTGAACTGTCCCCTTACTAGTCCCCATTAAGGGGGTGTTTTACCTTCCTTAGCCACATAGGAGTGGAGAGTAGAAAATTTGCTGTACTTGGGAACAAGGCAAGTCTTTCTGCCACTTCCTCCATATACAAGGTTAGGAGCCAAAGGGTCATTTTCCGACTTCAGCTGATAAGCTAGTTCTCTCTGGCAGCACAATTCTGTTCAAAATCTAGAAGGTTTCTTATCTTATTTGTTTCCATTCAGTTCTGTGCACTAGTAAATGCACCCCTAGTTTTTCTTTTGTTTTGAAACCTGGTTCTCAGATCTGCTACAATGATTTGCTTTCTCACCCCTATAAGTCTCTTTCTGAACCTAAAGAAAGTTATTTTGGGACTCTGTCCTCTGTTGAAAGCTTATCTTAATTTTATCTTTTTTCCTCAGTCATTTTGTCCAAACAAAATAGTATAATGGATATATTATATATTCTTGCCCTTGAGGAAATTTAATTTTTGGGGAAAAAAAAAAGTTCTTTCTGGGCTTAAGATCAGCTTCCTCGCTGCTTCCTGACCACTAAACCAAGGTCATGTACTTTAAGTTTTTTCTAGAGAAGTATCTTACTTCTGGTACCAATTGCATGTAGTCATTATGGGCTAAAGTTATACTGGGCTATACTGTGCTATCCCCAAACCTCAGTGGCTTCACTGAACATTTTATTTTTTTGCTCACACTGAACATCTGTTGTAGATTTTGGGAGACTCTGCTCCACAGCTGGACTCGAGCCTCGAATGCACCACCATCTTGTATGCTCTCTGAAACATGTGGCCTTCTCAGTTGCCTTAGTGGGGAAAGAGTATTAAATGGTCTTGTACCAGTAGTTAACTGTTTATCAGCACCCTAAAACTAGTTACATGGCCCTGCCTAACTTCTCTACAATGAGGTTACAGTTTTAAGCAGGGAGAGGAAGATAACATAGTGCAAACTTTGAATGGAGAGGTAGGGTTGACCTCTAGCAAGGGAAGTAGGTTGAGCATTGGAAAAATGAGAGATGCTCTGTCCAATATATCCAATAGCTTCTTTTTCCCCAGAAGAAGCATGAAATGGGGATATAATCAGAGAAATATATGTGTAAGTGTTAGGAGTGAGGAAGCCAGTTGGCAGATAGAGAAATTGGGAAATGGTAAGAATGGGAAAATGTTCTGGAGTTGTGAGGCAGGTTCTAGAACCCAGTCGAGCCTGGTTGACAGAGTTAGAGTGAAGTCACTCTCCTTGGCTGGGAAACCCCATTGCTGAACCCTCTCCCCCATTTCTCCTGAAGTAGCCTTTCCATTCTGTTTTTTCTGTGCATTTTTAATAATCCCTGTGACACTCTGGTCACACTGAGCTGACTTTCTGTTCAAATCTTGACTGTGGTGATAGATATGTGAGCCTAAAGGTGATAAAATTCTATAGAATATACACGCACGCACAGTTGTAATGAGACCGATGTAATCTCAGAAGAGCAGTAGTGTGTATTAATATAAATGTACTGATTGTGATATTGTACTTCAGTTTTGTGAACTGTTACCAGTGCGGGAAACAAGTAACTGGGCACTCCAGGTCTCTCTTCAAACACCCTTGTGAGTCTGCAATTATCTTAATGAAAGTCAATTTAAAAATGGGTGTGAAATTGTTCTGTAGAACCAATAAATAATTTTTATTTTTAAATGTATTTTACTTTTAGATTGTTCCTGCTGGATTGATAGCATAGTCATCATTGGCTTTTGTAAGTTTATATTTTAATTTTTTATCCTTTGCCCTGACATTTGCAATGCCTGGAGCAAAAATTGGAGCAAAACTTTTTTTATCATCTGATTCTTATAATATTTTAAGGTGTGTTTTATCTTTTATGATGCCATTAGGTGAAAAATAGTTACTTTGAGGAAGTTTGAATTACACTTCTTGAGCTAGGGCCAGTTGGTTCTTAGGAGTGACTTCCTCTCAAGGTTATGACAGCAGAAGCCAGGTGCTGTCTGTGGAGCTGAAACTGTGTGTGCGGTTTCTGTCTATCCTGTGGGACAGCAGAGTCTTCACTCAAACATCTGTGAAGGACGGTAGGTACACAGCACCTTGGGAGAAAGCCTAGTTTTAGATGTGAGCACTTTGGCTGGGAAGGTAAAATGAATTGTTTTATTTACCTTTGAAAATCTGGGAATTAGATGAAGTTAGGGGAGGATTCCAGATTGGGAAAATTTAGTGTTATCCCTATTTGGTCATTTGAAGTAGCTATATTTCTGTTCCATAACTTTTTCTTTGTATTATATTGGGGGGGGGAGTTCCTGTTTTAGTAATTGTTTTTTTTAATTCAGTAAAGTCAACACTTTTGCAATAGGATTGAATAAACATTTTTTAACCTAAGAAAATGAATTATTCCATATATCACTGAAAATTACTAAATCGATTTTATTTGGCTGTCTCTTAGAATGGAGACTTGCCGGTATGGAAAAAGAAGGTTATGAACAGCCAATTTTTTTGATTTACATGTCATAATTTTGATAGAGAAGAATTAAAATATGCTAAACTAATTTTAAAGGCCTCTGTTACAAATATTGTCTAAAGGTCTCTTTGTTTTTCATCATGTTACCAGTTATTGGAAAATTACGATAATAGGTTCATTTCTTATGGCTAGAAAGAAACTAATGTATTAAGAATAGTATAAAGAAGTAATGTATACTTCAGAATTTTTTTGCAGTAAGTATATATAGCATTGTTACCAGAAAATGAACAATAAAATCTGAAGGAAGCAAAATGTTTTCAGTACTTAGATTTAAGAAAACACTGTTGGAGGTCAAGTTCAGCCAAATTTTAGCAATTGTATGCTTCCCCAGATAACTCAATATGGAAGCTAAAATACCTGATTTGAGAACTTCAGTTAGGTTCCATATGATTAAAAAGCAATTGAAATCTCAGTCACCTACATATTTCTGTATACTTCATTTTCTATTTCATTCGTTGTTTGATTAGAAGTTCTTTTAAAAGAAAAAAATGAATAGACCTTGATACTCTTAGTAAATGATTCCTAATATTATTTTTTTAAATTGAGAACTTGGAATGTTCTATCAAAATTTAGTTCTAGAAGCTCTCTTTTTAAGAGCTATAAACTAGGGAGCAGACACCCTTGTGAAGAGCACAAGTTTTAGACCAAGCATAGCCTGGCTCTAATTCTGGCTATGATGCCAGTAAGTACGTGACTATGGTGAAGTTAATGAACCTTCCCTAGCCGGAATTTGTCATTTATAAAATTAAAATAATAGCAGCATGAGGTTTATGAGAATTAATTAAGGTGATAGACCTGGCTATTAACAATATTCAGTAACTATTAATCTTTTAACTAATTCTGTATTTCTTAGTACTGTATGCTTGAGATACTAGTAACAATTGTATAATATGCTTTATAGAGGAGACAATCTTTTATTATTTAGACATTATATAGAGTAAATTTTGAAAAATTATATATTCTTATAAAAGACAAAATGACCAAGGAGACATGGGCTGATCTGTAATGGACCCATCAAGTTACCTTTTTGCATTTTTTGAGCATTTAGGTAACCTCTACATCTTAGCAAAGTGGACATAATGAAATGAAATGATACAGATTTGTCAGTACTTTTGTAAATATAAAGCACCAATGCAAATGTAGGAAAGTGGAACTTTATAATGTGGGGACTTCCACCATGACTTCCATCCATGATGTAGTAATAGGAACTGTATTTATTCTCCTGCTGAGCAGCCAAGAAAAAAGAACCCCATAAAATATATGACACAGAAATTGTCAGACATTGGACAACATAAGAAGTAAATCCTGAGAGAAGGGAAACAAATGATGAGCACAAGGCCATAGCCTAAGAAGAGGAACCAAACAGATCCCAGTGGTCACCCTGAATTGAGGTGATAGAGCTGGGGCTCAGGGAAGCTGACACAGCTAGAATTTATAGGACTGAATACCAGAGAAGAGAGGGTTGCATGGGGAGAACACTAGAGATCTTCAGCTAAGTGCTGATTCGTGCATGTGTGTAGGAGAAGTACCCAGGGCTGAAAAAAAGGGCCACTGGAAAGGAAGAGGTAGCTCACATAGGACTGAGAAGTGTGTGTCCCCACCATTGAGAATAAAAAAACTTTGTAAAACAAGTGGTATTAGATGGAGTATACTCAGAAGGGTTTTGCCTCAGTAGTGATGCAGAAGTGGGCCCAGAATAGAGGTGGTTCTGATCCTTCCTAAAACATCTTAACAGTAAGCCGTTAAAGGAGGATGATAAAACTTTTTGTAAAGGGCCAAAAGGAAAATATTGTAGGCTTTGCAGGCTGTATGATCTCTGTTGCAACTAAGCTCTGCCATTTTAATGTTAAAGCAGCCATAAACAATATGTAAATGAGTGGGGATGTCTGTATTCAAATAAAACCATATTTAGAGAAATAGGGTGTGGGCCAGATTTGACCTGTGGGCTGTAGTTTGAAGGCTCCTGGTTTAAAGAATCAAATGGTTTCTAGTAGCTTAACTTCATCCCAGAACAAAGCTCAAGACTATTTAAAGAAATATCAAATATCCAGCACCTAACTAGATAAAGTAAGCAATGTCTAGTGTTCAGTCAAAATTTACTAAATAGACAAGGAAACAGAAAAGGTCAATAGTAAAGAGAAAAATCAATTGATAGAAATAGACTCAGAAATGTCATAGGTTTAATGAACATTTAATAAACAGATTTTACTTAATAAGAAAACATATTTACTAAACAAAGATACTAAGGGAGTTACTATACTATGTACCAAATGTTCAAGATAGTAGAGGAGAGCATAGGGTTTGTTAAGGAGAGACATGAAAGCTATTATAAGACCTATATTGATCTTCCAGAGACAATGTAAATTTGATGAAAAATACACTGGGTAGGATTAAGAGTAGACTAGATATTGCGCAAAGAACTGAATTTAAAAAAATAGCTCATCAATGAGCTGTGGGACAACTTCAGTCAGCCAAATATATGTGTAATTGGGCTCTTCAAAAGAAGAAAGGAAAAAAAAACAATTAAATAATGGCTGAATGTTTGCTAAATTTGATGAAAACGATAACCTCACATATCTCAGAAGCTCAGTAAATACCTAGCAAGAAGAAAAAATATGAAGAAAATTAGACCAAGGATACCATAATCAAGTAGTTTAAAATCAATAATAAAGAAAAGATTCTACTGATTTTAAAACCAGTAATAAAAGATTCTACAGCAGAGAACAGACACTATAAAATTTGGAAGAACAAAGAATGACATCAGACTTTGCATTAAAAACAATGCAAGCCAAAAGACAGTGGAGCAACATCTTTAAAGCAATGAAAGAAAATATTGTCAAACTAGACACCTATAGCTAATAAAAATATCTTTTAAAAAGATAATGAAATAGAGACTTTTTAAAACATACAGACTCTGAATGAACACATTATTATTACATGTACAGTACAGGAAGTGTTACAGGAAGCCCATAGAAAAAAGGGAAATAATATCAGATGGAAATAAAGAGCATCAAAAATGGTAGCCTCCTGAGTAAATAACATTTTTAAATTTTTAATCTTTTTAAAAAGATAATTGATGAAAGTAGTAACCAGAGTTGTGTTAATAACATGAAATATAAAATTGCACAAGGGTCAGGAGGTGAAAAATTGAAATATCAAATTAAAGTTTTTATACTGTAGGTGAAGCAGAGTAATATTTCTTGAAGGTACATTATAATATGTTAAAGATATGGTTATAAACACTAAATTAGTTACTAAAATATTAAAAGAGTTTTAAGCCAAGAGATAAAATTAAATCAGAAAAAAATAGTCCAAAAGAAGGCAGGGGAAAAAGGAAAAAGGGAATGGAAAACAGGTGAGATGAATACAAAAAAATAGCAAGATGCTACATTTCAGCCTAACAACATCAATAATCACATTAAGTATAAATGGTCTAAATACTCCAGTTAAAAGACAAAGAACGTCAAGAGTAGGTTTTTAAAAAACAAACAAGCACTACTATACACTGCCTGCAAAAAAATGCACTTCACATATATAAATACACAAATAGGTTATAGGCTAAAGGATGGAAAATAACATATTATAGCACTAATTTTTAAAAAGTAGCTGTATTAATATCACAAGATAGAAAGTAGAAATTAGAGGAAGAATATTGCCAGGAATAAAGAAGATTTTTTTATAATGATAAGGTAAAATCATCAGTAGGACATAAATGTTTATGCATCTAATGATACAAGGAGAAGTAGACAAATCCACAGTTACAGTCAGATTTCAACACCCTTCTCTCAGTATATGATAGATCAAGTAGATAGAAAATCAATAAGGATATAGAAGATTGAATAGCTCTATCAACCAACTGGACCTAATTGATGTTTATAGTAGACTCTATTCAACAACAGCAGAATATGCATTCTTTTCAAGTATGCCCAGAACATTAATCAAGATAGACAATATTCTAAGTAAGAAAACAAGTTAATTTAAAAGGATTCAAATTATACAAAGAATGTTCTTTGACCATAATGTAATTAAATTAGAACAGAAATGCGTCTGAAAAAATATCTTCTAACTGAACATCACACTTCCAACTAACCCAGGTTTATGTTGTAGGCCATAAAAATACCTTAAGTTTAGACAAGTAAAAATGATACAAAATACATTCTCAGACTACAGCAGAATTAAATTGGAAATCAGTATCAAAGATAGTTGAACAACTCTCAAATATTTGGGAA